TGATTCGGAATGGCGCTCAGGGTCTGCGCTCTGTGTTTTGCAGATGATGGAAGTGAGCACAGATTTAATATGTGCTTGATAGAGTGTCATTCTAGACCACAGCTCTTCCCAGCACTGTGCACTATTGCTCCAGCTGTGCCATAGCCTGACCCGACTGGTTTGATCTTTAGAAGAATGGGAGTGATAAACGTTTGAGTTTTTTAAGAATTTTTTTTTTTTTTCAGTTGATTGTCGTGATTTGGAAGTTAAGAGAAAAAATCATGCCAGGGTGTTTTTTTGTTTTATTTTGTCTTCTGGGGATTTTTTTGTTTTGTTTTGGGTTGGTTTTTTTTTTGCTTGTGGCCAAGAATCCTCCTTATTGCTTCTGTAGTGGTTGGCTCTGAGGGCATGGAATGGAAAGAAATTGCTTTTGGTAAGCAAAAATAGAAGAGTGTTCCAGGAGGGTTGCTGCAGAGTGACATGACCTTGTCATGTAAAGAGCATGTGCAAAACAGTGCTTAACTATGTAGAATACTTAGTTCTATGTCAAGAAGTGCCTGCAGCATTATAAAGCAGCCTCCAACCTGGTTACACTCTGTTCTGATTGCAAAGTAGCTTTATTTGGATAACTCTCCTGGAGCTAAAAAGGATTGAGGTCGCGGGAGAGATGAGGTGCTGGTGGGAAAGGGCTGAGACAGGAGGCAATCAAAGTAGGGGGTTGGAAAGTTATTTTTAAAGAAAGGCTTCCGAAGTTGTCATTGGTCTGTGCTGTTACGAGCTTTTTAACAAGACTGTATCTCCTTCATTTCTTAGCACTTCTTTCTCAGAAGGTGGAAATGGGAGTGCTGTGTCCAGTGATGCGGAGTTTCACAGCCCCTGGGCTCCTGACCACAGAAATGTCTCTGAAAATGGTCAGGTATCCCTGGCTGGCTGCAGCAGGAGAGTGAAACCAGGGAGTCCAGGAGAGAGGAAAGGGGTAGAACGGTAAAGTGGGGTAAAGAAAAAAAGAGCTGAAAGTAGATCATTGTGCTGAGGAGAAAGACAAAAAAGGAAGAAAAAACTAGTGTGAGCTCCCGAGGAGTGGGTGGAGGTTGACGCTTTGCTCATCGATGCTCTTCAGCATCAAAGTCGCATGGAAATAGAAATAATCTGCTTTGGCAACGGCATCTGCAGGTAGAGCCTTGGCCTGCAGCACACGGGTTGCTGCAGTCCGCAGCCTCTGCTTGCCTTTGCTGCAGCTGCAGTGACAGACATCTGTGTTCTGACAATGCAATTGTTCATGTAAATTATTTATGGCACATGTGGTATTCTTTCTTTCACCGTGAGGCATTTAAAGCAGGCTGTTTTCTCTCTGTTTAATCCTTCAGAGGAAAGCGTGTAAAATGGAGAGTAAAATACAACGATAGTAAGTATGTCATTTGGAAATCAGCATGAGGGGATAAAATAGGAAATTTGTTTCTTGTGAATGCGCTTTATCTGAGAATACAAGTTCCAGTGTTTTTTCGCTACTGCTTAAAACCTTAGACTCAGTACTAGAAATCGCTTGGTCTGAAACCTCTCTGATTTATCACTGAGGCCGTGCTTTAGGAAATCCTTTAGGGATATGAGATCTGTCCCTGTTCACAAAATACTCATGCAGATGTTTTCATTCCCGTTCATACCTGTAGGTTTGAACTTTTGTCTGGGCGCTGCCTGCTGAAAAATTCTGTCCTAACAAGGCAAAAGTAGCTTTTCTACAGACTCGTGTAGTAAGAGGAGCTTTACTGATGGTGGGGACAGATGTGAAATTACCCTCTTAGCTTCTGCTATGCCACAGGGAACTGCAGGTGTGGAGTTACAGTAGTTAGCTCTTAGGTTGTACATTGTTTCCTGATTAATTATTTTTTAATCCTATATCATCACATTTTATATTATCCCTGGCCATCTCAAAATACTATTATCATATTATCCCATATTATTTTAAACCCATGTATCTCTCAGGAACCTGAGGGGTTTAGCTGCTGTCATTGCCTGCATTGTGGATCCAGTCTGGGTGCTTGGCTTTGATCTTGGTGACGGCAGTGAATGCCACCAAATGCAACCTGATGTTAAATATTTTCATAAGCTTTAATGTTTTGTGTTTGCTGTTCTCAAGTGGGGAAGTCCTTCATTTACTTTCTCAGCAGAAAGAAAGTTTCCCCTTGCTTGAAGGAGTGGCTCTTACACCATCCCCTTTCCCTCCTTAGCCAGGATACTGAAATGGCAGTTGGGTGGTAAGGATGTTTTTTTCACCCAGAAACAGAGCAAGACTCAGCAATTAATTTCTGAGAGGGCCACGAGATGATCACTAGGTATTCTTAGGCAGCCCTTGATCTCAATTTCTTTGGCAACCTGTGCCAGACAGTCTCTGTGGTGTGTTCCCTGTCCTCTGGCAAGCTTGGTTTTGAAATCCTTTGTTCTGCGTGGAGAGTTCTTCTCCATCCCTTGACAAGCAAAGGAGAAGGCTGCCAGCCAGCTGCAAGACTGACACGTACATTTGCAATTTTCATAATTGAGACTTTTGAGCAAAACCTGTAGGAGTAAAAAGATTTGAGAAGCTGTAGTTCTACAAATCTGACCATTGGGAGCCTATTAAAGAGGAGGCTTGGGAGGGAGGAGGGAGTGAGCGCTCCTTGCGTGCTGGGTACTCACAGCTCGCTCCGTGTCATGAAGCTCCGTCTCAGAGGTGCTCAGAAGGGCTGGGTCTTGACAAGCAGCCCCTGATTTTCTCCCCTCTGATAATTACAAGTTCAGTATTTCAGCACAGATACAGGCCTTGAGGTGCCTAAAAGCACATTTTCCTCTAAAACCCACAGGTTTTGAAGACTAAAAATTTGCTTGGGTGAGTAAGTCCTAAGAAGGACCCTAACTGGGGTCGGACCAGGTACACAGAAGTATTTGGTGCAAGATACAGCACAAGCCATTCCCTGTTGTCTAGTGCAGCCAAGCCAGTGCTTCAGTGAGAGCAGTTTGCTACAGAATTGCTCAGCAGCAAATTGCAAGATGTCCCAGAGCAGACATTTGCTCCAAATAGTGTCTCTGAGGTGCCTCACCTTCCAGCCTTACCCCTTGGGTGCTGCTGTTACCCCACACCTTGCTGAGAGCAAAGCGTAAAGTCCTGGAGTGAGAAAACAGATTTTTGCTATCATTTTCATATTTCTGTGTACAGAAAGCGCCTTGGGCGGTGAATATTGGGCCAGTGCCCAGCTTATGGCCGTGTAGTGCCGTGGTCTCCCCTTTCAAATGGAACTACAGCAGAAAAAGTCTGATTAGGCTCAGATCAGCTAGAGCAAAAGCAACTTTTTATGATGACAGCCTGTAATCACCACAGGGCTGCTTATAGTAACTGGCTAATCTGGATTGATCAAGGTGGTGATATTCATCTCCCGGTTCGTTTCAGCATGGTCTTGAACATCAATCCAGCCTCTGCCTGTCACAGTAATTGTCTTTTATCACTCTCGCAGATTGCTTTTCCCTGGAGCAGTCCTGGTATTTTTTCATTACCACAGCTGGGAAACAAGGCTCCGCGACAGGGTGTGGCACCGTCTTCACTGATTTTTGCTTTTTTTTTTTTAATTTAATTCAAAACAAAGGCTTGCTAGTGAATAGTCCTAGCTGAGAACCTGTACAAAACTCATCGCTACGGCATCTGTGGCCTCCCAGCAGCCCACGAAGCGACACGACTGACAGCTCTCACGTGTTGGTCCCAACAGACCCGCGCCTCGTTCCAGCTGCTGGCTCTGTCTGGCTTCCTTATAATAGTTGCATTATAACAGCGTGCTCCAGAACAATACAAACGCCTATTTTCTCCAGTGCTTAGAGTTCTGATTTGCTCCATGATTTTAAATTTATTCTTCGGTTAAAAAAAAAAAAAAAAAGAGGAGCAAAGTAACCAGCAGCAGTCTTGCTAAGGAGCTTCCTCCTGCCTCGTTCTTGGTCTGAAATCCTGGGAACTGCGCGAGTGTTTGCTCTCCTTCTCTCTGGGGTTTCCTGGCCTTGTACCCCCATTAATATTCCTTTCGACACCTGCCGTGTGCATTTCATCAGCTTTTGGAGATCACCAGGGAATGTGTGTGTAGGACAATGGACAAAGGTAAAAGGATGAAATCCTGGTAAGGGTTTCATGTCGGTGTATCTTTATAAATTCTTTTGGGGAGTTTAGTATCAGCTAACGGACCAGCTGAACTATGGGTCATCATGTATGTTCTTAAACATTTCAGGTTCAGCAAAAGGGCTGACCTCAGGGGACCCTCTTGTCTCCCTACTAAAAAAGAAGCAAAAGCAAAATAACTATTTCTTCCAAAGTCATCGATACCATGAAGCAAATACATAACTGTATTTGGGGGAACGTGTATCTGTAATGTCTCACTCGGCAGCCTCGGCTGCAGGTGCCTGGGCTGGTGGTGGATTTGGGTTCTCACACGCTGATTTTAAGCGTGGCCCTAATCACTGGGGGTAACACGGATAACACAGCACCTTTGTAGCTACACAGGTCATTGTATTCCAGAAGTACGTCAGACCAGCCTACGCAATTGTGACAAGCACAGCATAAATTTGTGCATTTTGCACTGTCTAGTTGCTATATGCTCGTCCCTTGTAATTCCTGCTAAATAGTCACAATTCCATGGCTGCCAGGTTGTGTCAAGAACCAAAGCTGGGAAATCCTGCTGCTTTCATATACGTAAAGCTAATTTTTGAGTTGGAGGCAAATGCAATTCGTATTGCTTCAGCCACCCTTGGCATACGTTCCCGAGCCTAGAGATGCAACGTGACTCGCTAGGGATCACTGGAGCGCTTGGAAAACCAGCCAGAGGAGGTCCCAGCAGGCTGAGCGCTCACAGAAATGAGTGCCTTGGAAGAGGAATACGTATTGTTTCCATGCAAGTTTTATACCAATGCAGTACATGAGAAAAAGCACAAACCACCTGCGCATCCCTCTGCCCATGGGCATGCTTTGAAATAAGACTAGAAGGACGTTGAACGCATTTAGAAATGTGAAGCCGTTACTCCTCCCATATGGTTTATTGAGGATCTGAGTTTTCAAAGCATGAGTAGCAGTGAGGCCTGTTATTCTTTCCGACATGCAAAAGGCACAAGAAAGTCATCAATGTGATTCTGTGCAAAGTGTCTCTAAGAAAACACACAGCGAGGAAATGACAGAAAAAAGCCCCCGATGAAAGAGAAAGCCAAAGTGCCTTCAGGAAAGTGCTGAAAAGTTCTGAAAATGGTCATAATTTTTCAGAGTCCAGATATGCTCAGTCGGTGAAAGATGCTTTGCAAATCCGTGAAGGAAAACTCAAGAGACAGAGCCAAAAGGCTTAAAACAATAATCTTCTTCATATGCCAAAATTCAGGATGGAAGTCAAAATGATTTATCTGGGGAAAAAAGTGCCGCAGTTAAAGACGGACATTAAATTCTTTAAAAATGCCCACCAAAACCAGACGTAGAAAGTGGATACACTCTAAGAGCAGCTCAATAAAAAAGATTCCTTTTAATGAAAATAATTTAAAAAATGGATTCTTGAAGAACACAAATCCACCTTGACTGTGACCAGCTACTGCACTCAGCTCCCGGGAAAGCCTCCGAGCACGACAACACAACGCCTTCTAGAAAAAGAAAGTCCCCGCTACTGCGTGTGTGAAATGTGGCCAGTGAACAATTTGGAAACACAAACGTACAGGACCAAGTATCCGAGTCCCATTAGTTAACTTGGGTGTCGGGAAACTTCCCGGGGTTCCCGTCTCTCCCACTGGAGCCGGCCGGTGCCGGAGGCGGCGTCGCTTCCCGGTGGGCACAGCTGAGCCCGTGAACCCCTGAGCCTCTCGCTGGAGTTGAATACTTAAACCTAAAAAAGGCATTTACAAGTTGAGGCATTTTTTTGTTGTTGTTGTCTTATTTCCTTGCAGTGTATGTTTCTACTTCTAGACTATGGAATGTTACATTAAACAATATAATTATTCATTACCTTGCTTCAATTTCATTACAGTTACTGAGGCTTCATCATATTTTCACACAGCACAGAGACACCAAACTAAACACCAAGCAGCCAGCACTAGATGTATTTTTTCTTTAAGTACCAATAAGCAAAATATCCCATTCCCCCCAGAGATCCCATCAGGAAGGAGGCTCCGAAGAAGGAGGGAGGTTTCCGCTTGACCAGCCTGAAGGCATTGGGTACCACTGCGGAGAGGAGCGTGGTATGTATATCTCCCAAAACTTTCCTGAAGGCGAAGCGTTTTTGTATCCTGTCGAAGAAGGACTGTAGGTTAGGTCTGCTGCCATCTTCCCAGTATTTCTTAGAGAGTCCCAGAAACTTGAGGCGGTGCAGGGTAGCTCCTAACAAGACATCGGCCAAAGTAAAGACGCATCCGCAGAGCCAAAGTTCACACTTCTGCCCTGAAGAGAGAAGTGACAGAGCAGGTAGGGTGAGAAGAAACCCTTGGGTGGGCACCTAAAGGCTTTCTAAAAAGAAGGCAGGAGCATTTGCATTAGACCTGGGGTGTTTTTTCTCAGCTCTCCGGTACCCCAAGAGTTCAGACCCCATCTACCAGGCTACATGATGGAGGGTACGTGGGGCCACAAAGCTGGGAATACGAGATGATGATTTATAGCCCACGTGAAGATACAAATCGCTGTCTGCAAAATGGCTCTGTTGCCTCTCTCCCAAATCAAGAGCAGCAGGAGACGGCATCCTCCCATACCCAGGAGGTCCCTGGAAAAGGGCCGTTGGCCCCCCTTGAAGGAAGATGCGGTGCAGTGACCCCTTCTGCTGTGTTAGTGCTCGGGGAGAGCAGCAGCGTTTGTCCTTGGCTGTACCGGGAGCTGCTTCAGGAGTGTCAGGTTAACTTGTCCTATTTTAGGGATGTAAGAAATCCGCAGGAATCAAAACCATTTGCTGGCCCGGCCTAGCTGCTCTCCCTATGTGCTGTTGGGGAGGTCCTGCCTCTGTCCCCTAAAACTGACACCAAAACTAGCAGCACATCCGTGCCCAGAGCCAAGTTTTTGGGGGAGGCAGAGCTCGGTGCGAATGCTGGGCGTGAGGAGAGGCACCAAAGCATTGACGGCCCCTGGTAAGGGGTGACCCTGGAAATAACCTCACCAGAGAGATGTCCAGGAATAAACCAAGCTGCTGTTAGGCTGGAAGAAGCGGGGTCAGGCCACGATAGTGTTAAACACTCCCCCGATGCCATTTCAATGCTAAGGAGAGGGCTGGGATGGAGCTAAGGCAGAGGAAGGGAGGTGCAGGTGAGGAAGAACAGCAGAAGGGGCACAAAACCTGGCCCCGTCCAGCCTGAGCCCCTGGCTTTGCACCAAATCCTTAATTTTGGGGCTTTTCCATTGTCCTGTGGCTGTTATATCTGCGAGGGAGAGAGCGGCACCTTTATTGCACCCCTGTGCAGGCACTGGTGCTGCCAGCAGGGCCAGGCCAGGGCAATTACTGGTAATTAGCAGCCCTCATTTGTAGCCTCTTGGCAGCCTGCCTAATCCTGCTAGAGGCACAGCCCAAATGGACAGATTGCCTGTGCCTAATTAGTCAATAAATGTTTTCAATGACTAATGAATTGTGGCGGTGCTGCAGCCGGAGTCCCCTGGGTGCTCTGGGGACCCTGTGGATGCTCTGGCTCGGAGGTAAGGGCAGCGGGGCTGAGGTGCCTGCCTCGCTCCTGGGCACTGCTGCAGGCAAAGGAGAAAGCACACGTGAGGATGGCGGCTTCGGGAGAGAGCCGTGATCTGGCCCTACCCCTCCTGGCTCCGGGCTTGTACCCACCGCTGGGGTCTGGACCCGGCTGTGGGGTGCCCCGGGGCAGAAGCGGGGGCGAGGGCAGCTCAACCCCTTTGCATCCGCAGCGGCCCCAGCTCAGCCTGTCCCAGCCGAGCAGGGTGCCTGCGGCAGGGTGTCACCCTGTGCTCC